AAAAAAAAAAAAAAAAGAACAGAGTGCTCTGGCGAATTTCAAAATGGTCCTTTTCCTCCTCTTGCTGCCAGAAGCACAAGTGGGTTTTTCTCTAATATTTACTCTGGGAACCAGCTTGAGCTCCTGGAGGTAAATCTCGTAAAATTGTGAGGTTCTCCAAGGACTGGGTTCTCCCGGGGTTTTTAACTCTCAGAATTGTCCACGCCGAGCCTCCAGCAATTCATCAATGAGAGTTCTGCTGTTCCCGGGCCCGGCATTGGTCCCCACAACGGTTTCTGCCCACGAGTCAGCCCGGGTAAGCTATTCTCTGTATTCGCTGGTCAGTCTCTCGGATCGTGGGGGCAGGGGTTGGACCTGTGTCCTCACCTCTCTTAAGGATCCCAGTAGAGTTGTTGGCTTTTCAGTCTGTGCAGCTTTTTATTCGGTGTTAAGATGGAGTGGTGACTTCCAAGTTCCTTACTTGTGAAACTGGAAAGCAGAAGCTACCTTTAAAGGGCTATATACACTTGGGGAAAAAATGTGTATTTTGCAGTTGTTCGATGTAGTTGTCTATATGTGTCGATTAGTTCAAGTTGATTAATTGCATTAGTCAAACCTATATTTTTTCCTACCTTTTTTGCTTGTCCTATCAGTTACTGCACGAAGCATGTTAAAATATCCAATTATGATTGTGAATTTGTCTCCTTCTTCTTTTAGTTCTGTCCACTTTTGCTTTATGCTTTTAAGATACATTATTAGGTGCATGCAAGTTTAAGATTATTATATGTTGCTCATCATTTTAAATTATGAAATGTTCCTCTTAATCTTGTAATACTTCTCTCTAAAGTCTACTTTGTCTGATATTAATATGGCCACACCAGCTTTCTTTCTTTTACTTAGTATTTGCATTGTATGTATTTTCCCTTTCTTTTACTCTAAATCCATCTGTGATTTTATATTTAAGGTAAAAAGAATAGGGGCGCCTGACTGGCTCAGTCAGTGGAGTGTGCAATTTTTGATCTCAGGGTTGTGAGTTTGAGCCCCATGTTAGGCATAGAGACTACTTAATTTAAAAAAATATTTTTTAACATAAAAAGTATAAGGACACCCAGCTTGGTCAGTCAGAAGAGCCTGTGACTCTTGATCTCGGGGTTGTGCGTTTGAGCCTCATGTTGAGTGTAGAGATTACTTAAAAATAAAACATTAAGGGGCACCTGGGTGGCTCAGTCGTTAAGCGTCTGCCTTCGGCTCAGGTCATGATCCTGGGGTCCTGGGATCGAGCCCCGCGTCGGGCTCCCTGCTCAGCGGGAAGCCTGCTTCTCCCTCTCCCCCTCCCCCTGCTTGTGTTCCCTCTCTCGCTGTGTCTCTGTCAAATAAATAAATAAAATCTTAAAAAAAAAGTAAAAAGTGGAGCGCCTGGGTGGCTCAGTCGGTTAAGCTGCTGCCTTCGGCTCAGGTCATGATCCCGGGGTCCTGGGATCGAGCCCCGCATCGGGCTCCCCGCTCAGCGGGAAGCCTGCTTCTCTGCCTACTTGTTCTCTCTCTCTCTCTGTCAAATAAATGAATAAAATCTTAAAAAGGAAAAAAAAAAGTAAAAAGTATATAATAAGATCTTGTTTTTAATCCAGTTTGACGTTTTCCTTTAATTGGAGTGTTTATTTTCATTCCCACATTTAATATATTTAGGGATATGGTGTTTGAGATTACTGTGTTAGTTGTCTATTGCTGTGTAACAAATCACGCCAAAATTTACAGGCTTAAATCAAGAGTAATCATTTATCATCTCAGTTTCTGTGGATTAAGAACTCCTGAGTAGCTCATCTGTATGACTCAGAATTCTCTGCATCCTTGCCAACACTTGCCACTATCTGTCCTTTTAATTACAGCCATCCTAGGGGTTTGAAATGGTATCTCACTTTGATTTTGACTTGCATTTTCCTAGTGACTAATGATTTTGAGCATCTTGTCATGGGCTTTTTGGATACGTGCATATGTTTTTTGAGAAACGTCTACTCAGATCCTTTGCCCATTTTAAAATTGGGTCCTCTTTCTATTATTGAATTGTAAGAGCTCTTTATATATTTTAGATACAAGTCTCTCATCAGATCTATGGTTTGCAAATATTTTCTTGCATTCTGTGTATTCTTTTCACTTTCTTTATGCTATGCTTTGAAGCACAAACCTTTTTAATTTTAATGAAGTCCAGCTTATCTATTTTTCCCTTTGTTCACTTTCATTTCTAAGGCTGTTACCACTGGTATAGAATTCTAGGGTAACAATTTCTTTTTCCTTTTGGTTCTTTAAATATGTTATTCCATTGTCTTTTGGCATCTGTTATGGATTAAATTGTGTCCCCCCTCCCCACCGCCAAAAAAAAAAGACAAGTTGAAGTCTAATCCCCAGGACCTCAGAATGTGACCTTACTGGGAAATAGTGTTGCAGATGTAATTAGTTAAGAGGAGGTCATACTGGAATAAGGTGCACCTCTAATCCAATATGACTGGTGTCCTTATAAGAAGATGGCCACGTGAAGTCAGAGACCAAGGAAGAAGGCCATGAGAACATGAAGGAAGAGAGTGGAATTACACAGCTGTAAGCCAAGGAGTGCTAGCTGTCAGAAACTAGAAAGAGGCAAGAAAGGATTCTCTGCTTTCAGAGAGAGCAGGGCCTTGCTAACACCTTGATTTCATACTTGTAGCCTTTAGAACAGAGACAGTAAATTCTCATTTCAAACTACCTACTTTGTGGTACTTTGTTATGGCAGCCCTGGGAACTGATACTGCTCCATAGTTTCCATTGAACATTTAGACACTCTTCTCCTTTTCCCTTTGAAAGTGATGTGAATTTGTCTTTTTGGATGCTTTCTATTATTTTTGTTTTCTTTGGTTTCAGTACTTCTACCAAAATGCCTAGGTGTCCCCCTCCTTGGTTTTCATTTTTTAATTTTTTTAGAGACTTTATTTATTCATTTGACAGA